ACCTTGTTATTCGACCTCAGCCGTTTACCCTCGAAGAGGAAATTTCGGATTGTGTATGGGATCAATTGTATCCCCGAGTATGGGAGAACGATCGGAAGAAGGATCTCTTGTCCCAGCGGCAGCAACCATGGAACTCAAAGACAGTGAAATCTTCAAGGATGAACCTCACCAGAAAGTATCTCGGGTTACGGAACACGAACCGTTGCCGAGAGTGGCAAGGCCTGTACATGAAGATGTCATGGTGGACCGGACTGCGGAGTTGGAAGAAATGCGGCAAAGTGCAGAAGAGAGGCGAGCTACCTTGGTGGAGCAAGCTAACCTCCTGCAGACGCCAGGAAGGAAAGCTGAAAGTACTCCAGCAAAGACTCCAGGTACAACTGGAGGAAAGTCGCGAGAAGAAAAGAAGAAGGAGAAGAAGACTGCCAAGAAAGAAGCCAAGCAAAGCCGTAAGGCCGAGAAGGCTAGGAAGAAACAGGAAGAAGAAGCCACCAGTCCTCAAGGTGTTCGGCGTAAGTTGGATGAAGCTATGGAAGTGGCAGGATCGATTGAGAACGTCATGTTGCTTGAGAAAGAGTATAAGAGATTCAGACTTGACGGAAAGTATCAACCCCCCTTCCTCAGTATCTACAGCCGGATGTTGCAGAACAGTCAGAAATTCAAGCCCAGATCTTTCTATGATCCCCCAGGAAAGGATCAAGAGACAGAACAACTTGAAGCTCTTAAGGAAGAAGAAGAAGAGAAGAAGTCCGAGGCAGAGTCTCGGAAGAGAAAATTGGCCGAGCTGGAGGAGCAAAAGCGGATCTTGGAAGCTGAGACAAAGGAGAAGCAGCAAGCACTGGAGGAAGAAACCAAACGTCTTCGCGCAGTGGAAGAATCGGAGCGTATGGCTAAAGCACTTCAGGAAGCTAACAAGCCGCCAGCCAAGATCACGGTACCTGAAGCAGCACTGGATTCGGCGGAAGAATGGTACCGCAACAAAGCCCTTGAAGTCGTGGGCAAGCTACGAGCTCGAAAAGGCGAGCAAACGGAAAACGCTCGTAAGGCCGAGGAAAGTTGGCTCCAAGCTTGCAGGAATGTGGAGAAGGCTCAAAGTGGATTTATTGTGGCATCGGAAAGGCTGCAAAGTGCTATGGGACAAGCCCTCAACATCGCAGTACGCCACGGAGAAGAAAAGGGTCTACTTCAGATCTTGCAATCCATCCACGATGGAACCACGCAAGCACCAGAGCCAGCTGAACCCGCTGTTAAAGCGATGCCAAAGAAAATGCCCAAGTTGGGAACGGAGCTCAGGCTGGACAGGAAAAAGAGAAGAAGCTTCCAGAGCAGAGAAGGTCTGGAAAAGGGAAGAAGCAACCGCCTGAGGAAACCCCAGGATGGGAGTGGACAGAAAGAATTTATGAAGAAGACATCGACGAGAATCGCCCTCTACGAAGCGGAGAAGAGTATTTACCTGGGTCCGAACCTTTCAGTCCAACTTGGACAAAGGAGTTGGTACAAATCCTTTCTGGATTGGCTATGCGCGGGATTGGAGAGAAAGACGGAGAGTATCAGCCCCTATGGGAGTTCCCTTGGCAGATCAAGTCGTATGAAGACTATGATGCAATCCAAGCCCAGCTGGAACCGTACAGTGTACGCCTCATTCCGTCGCGCCGCGAGTGTAAAGGTGCTGGACGCTTCGCGGAAGTATGGAGTATGCACCCAGCCGGAAAGGGTCGTTTGGACATCGAGCCAACGGAGACTACCCGGCGCCGTACTGTGTACGGGAGCTTACCTCCAGGAAAAAGCTTGTGCTCGCTATGCTGGCATGGAGGACATTGGAAGAAGGAGTGCAAGTACCGCCAGCTATGCTTTTGCCTGTGCGAGCCGATGCTCACGATACTGGATCGCGGAAACAAGACGAGGCGACTGTATCCGATTCGAGGAATCACTCGTCCCGGATTCCAAGGAGATACTACGAATCCGTACAAAAGGTTTCTCCCGATGCTCGCTCTTTGCGACTTTGGGAGTATGTCCAGGGAAGTCTCGGAGAGTAACAAGCGATACTGGAAGCAGGCAAAGGATGAAGGAGATTTTCCAGTTCTGTATCGAGAAGAGCAGGCCAGCCGGAAGAAGGAAGCAAGCCAGTCAGCTACAGCAAAGAAGAAGACCAAGCCAGAGAAGCCCAGCATCTGGACAGCCAAAGAGGATGAAAAGAAGGTGGTGGTTTTGGACGAGCCTAGCCCGGAAGCACCAAGCCGAGAGGAGCTTCGGCAGAAGTACGAAGAGCACCACAAGGCCAAGCTACGCAAAACGTTGGAGTCGCGTGAAGCAAAGAAAATCTTGGATGCCCCGGAAGCGGATGCAGGAAAAGATCAAGAAGTTCCAAAGGAAGCCGTTCCGGAAGAACCTGAAGTACCAGAAGCACCCGCAGTGCCAGAAAAGACGCCTGTCAGGGACACCATGGACGAAGCAGGCAGTGACAGTAAGATGTCGGATGAGGCCAGCGAAAGTGAATCCCCTGTGGAGAATTCGGAGTCGTCGGAAATCGACGAACCAAAACGCCGTAAGACCGCTAAAGAAAAGCAGCAGGAAGAAGCTGGAAGAAGTGAGCCAGCAGAGCAGATCGATAAGAATGATCTGTGAGGCGCTTGAGCAACTCGCTGCCCAGTGTACGAAGTTGCGCGCAGCAAACGCTGTGCCTGTACTGATAGCACTTCTGCTCATCTGGAGTTGCGGAAGAATGCAAAAAGGAGTGACACGCAGCAGGGATGCCGTCACCCATCTACCTTGTATGCGAAGGAAAGTTGTTAACCGGATGCATAGTATTCGTTGGAGACGTAAAGTGAGTGGATGCAAGCGGAAATTCAGAGCAATGGTACTTGTTTGTTTGCTTGTCAGGACGGAAGCTATGCAAGGACCTCAAGCCGCACAACCATCATCAGCCGCCGGAGTACCAGTACAAGATGGAGCAGATGGAGATGGATTAGGCATGGTACCTACTCAAGAGATACTTGGACAGTTGGTCCAGAATTCCAGAGTCACTACAGAAGCTATTCACCAGCTAGTTACCTATTCTGGAAACCAAGGAAATACAGGAAGTTCGTATGAAGGAATACTCTCTAAGGCATTGGAAGGTGCAGTGAAGATGTTGGGAAGACCACCATCATTTGGTGGAGGTAAAACCGATGCACAAGATTTCATGGACTTCAAAGAACAACTTTATAACATTCTTGCGTATGCGGAACCCAAGTATTCGGATGCCTTTAAGAACTTGGAGAAGCTGGGAGACCATGAAGTACTACCAGCTACTTTCTCGGATGAAACGTATCAGACTATGTCAACGAAGCTGTACTCGCTATTGAATTCTTGGTTGTCAGGAACCACGAAGCAGCATGCACGAGATCCCAGTATTGCTGGATCCCGGAATGGATTTGCTTTGTGGAAATCATTGCTGAGGATGTATCAGCCGAGTACGAGAAGTCGGAGTCTAGCTTTGATGCAAGCGATTCATGGATACCCAAACTTTTCACCCGGACTAAGTGCTGTGGCACAGATTTCGAAGCTAGAAGAACTAGTCAAAGACTATGAGAGATGTAGTGGAGTGAGCTACCCTCGAGAGATTCTCCTGTCGACTCTCTTGAGATGTATCCCTAGTCCTCTGAAGGAACACATCCATCTTCAGCTTACGGATAAAACAACATACAGCCAAGTCAAAGAAAGCGTACTAGTCTACGAGCGGACTACGAGAAGTTGGATGCCGAACCAGTTGTTGAAACACGCTTCCCAGTACCATTTCATGTACATATGTGAAGGCCATGATAAGTGTAGCTAAGTGCTGACTTGATCGACGTATTTGGCTCAAGACAAAAGACGGTTGCATTGCACCTTGTCTTGCTGTTTTCAACTGGTTAACAGGTGTACTCTACATATATCTTGTCGGTAGAGAATCCTCCCGACGCCATCGTGTGTGCTATCGTGGAGTAGAGCCACCCCGACAGCACTTTCCATATCAGACTGGTCCATAGTGTATGTGCATCAGTCTTCAGGACTTCAGAGAGTATTGCCGAGAATTGTCAATTTCTGATTCTGCATTCGCCGACTTGTGCTCAGATTGCAAACAAGCCGTCAAGCAGTTTGTCCTTTCAAGATTGTTTCCCGAATATTGGTTGCGACGTACGCAGCAACAACTCAAGCAGATTAGGTGTAAGGTCAGGTGGGTAAGACTACTCCGTTGTCTAGTCAGAAGACGGAAACAGAGAGCGAGGAACGAAGCCCAACTATTGTTCCTGGGACGACGACCTAGGGCAGTGGACATCCCTCGCTACTTTCCCTGACCCGATCTTTCGCCGGACTGGGGCAAGGCCTTTTTCCGGTGTGCTCGAGTTGACTGCTCTCGCAAAGGCGTGAATCCGTCGGGCATCTGCATCCCCAACCTGCGTCCCAAAGCCCTGTTCACGGGTTAGTAGGATAGGTTTGTCCTTGGCAGGGGGGTACAATCGGAAGCCACTACGGCTGCAGGTTAGTGGAGGTTTGGGTGTTGGTGTGCGGATTTGAGGCTCCCGGCCTCTCCCTTCAACGTCCCAACCCGCTGTGGTTACGGCACTTGCCGAACTACGAGCACTGCCCTGAACAGCCTGCGACAAACATAAGATTCCTCACAAACTGGTATTTGGTACTTCGAGGTTCCTGGTGTGTTGATTGAGGTTCCCCTCTCCTCACTTGAGATCTCAGTGTCATTGTTGGTGGTTGACGGCACCCTGCCGCTCCACCATTGATCATTCCTTTCGGATTCATTGTCAAAGACTTCGGAATTGCTCCCGCAGTGTTGATTTCAAGGTTGCCCTTGTGGGAAATCCACGGGGTTGTGCGTTGCACAGTGTATACCCCGCTTGGGAAATCCGGCGGTGGTGGGAGTTGGTATCAACCTGGGTTAGATTTGGGTAACCTTTTCTTCGCCTAAAGGTAGTCCTCTGAACACTGTGCGGCCCGCTACCTTTGTCTCACCACAATACGACGCTCTGATGGGCCTGGAAGGCTTTTTGGCAGAACGTAACTTGGATCTTGCATCCCTCCTAGAGAGAGTACAGGCAAGGGGGGGACACAGCAAACAAGTTTACGCACGTCGCCGCTGCGGATTTCTTGCTATTCTAACGTGGCTATCTGGATACTTGGCAGGCAATACAACTGGGAGCGCCAGACAACGTGAGCGAAGGGCTCAGCGTATAAGGCGGCGAAGGGAGGATTTGGAAGCGCCCAACGCTCGACCTGAGCGAGGAGAACAGCTTCTTGAATGGTCTACTGACGAAGAGGAGGCAACTCCCCGTCAGCGTTCGCGAAGCCCTGCGCGATCTTCTTCATCTTTTGGCTTAGGCGAACAAAAGGGGTTTGATTCGGGGTCAGTAGGGATAAACATTCCTCCTAAGCCCCCAACTCCTAGACCAAAGGCTCCATCAGGAAGCCGTACGCCAACGCCTCCCCCAGGTCGTGCAGCTGTCCCGAAGGAACGGGCATTTTCACCTCCTGCGTCTGCCGCTGCTGCTCCATCTTCAACTTCATCTGGTGTTGCAGCCATTCCGACGGAGCCAGCTCATTTAGGCTTGGTTGCCGTGCCTAAGACAAAGCCACGTCCTAAGGCAAGACCTGCCGCTTTGGTCGTTGACGATCCTCCCGTAGCACCTCCCGTTGCACCTCCGCCCAGGGTGTACCGGTGTACTCATTGGATTGGCCCGTGGAGCATTCTTACGACCTTCGCACATTTGCTGAACAGCTGCTGCGTAACGTCAACATTTCCCAGTCGCAATCGGTAAGTCTGGTATCGCTTGATCAGCACAAAGTGCTTGACGCCGTCGACATTGCACAGGCTCGATCCATATTCAGCCTGCTTGGGGATTTGCACGACGCGGCATTGCTGGTGTGTTCCTACGCTCCAGAGGGCTCTGGCAACAGGAGCAAGACATATAACTTTGTTCAAAGCGTGTCTCGCTATACTGCTCAGTCTGTGAGCTTGGTCCACACCTCGGCTAAGATATTCGGGCCTAGGGCCAAAGCAGCCTTTTTGGACGCGTTGTTTACGGAAGCTGGGAATATTTTGGATCCCCTTCCCTTAACGATTTGGCACTTCGACGACTCAGGGGACATTGTGCAAGCCATTGAGCGCCTGGGTAACTCTCGCATTCGTGCTCGACAGTGGGACGGCTCTCACTCACAGCGGTACTCCTTGCTAGAGCACATCCGGTTCGAGCTCGGCCTGTAAAATCAGTATGCAGGAGTTATCTGACCTAAGCCTCACCACCTCCAGCAGTTCAGCCACTGCTGCCATGGCAGCCCCGAATGCTGATAACACCCAAGTGTCGACATCGTCATCGTCCAACCGGGAACGAAGCCCTGTCAGAACCATTGCACCCATTAGGCGTAACACTCCTACCTCGCGACATGGTTCACAAGCTTCTAATCCAGCGATATTCAGCATTGGCGAGTCGTCCACTGGAAGTGCTAGGAATCCTTCTCCAGCATCTGTCCATCTACATCAAACCAATCAACAGCTCAACATTGGCGCTGACCCGAGACTGATAGGACGTATTGCTGCTGAGGCACAGCGACATGTGTCGAATGTTACGGCTAATGCCGAACAAGCTGTGAGTCAAGCCACTGCAGTTTCACAGCAGACGAGACAACAAGCTGAGCATGTAGTTTCGCAGGCACAGCCGAAACACAGCAAACAAGACAGCAAGCGGAGCATCTTGTTCATCTGGCACAAGCCGAAGCAACACGAACAAGAATTCAGGCCGAACAACATGAAGCCTATGTGAACTCACACATGAGCGAGCTACGCTCCGAGCTGTCCGAGTGCCTTCAGTCACAAGCTGTCTTTATGCAGACATTGAACAGTCAGCGTGAGATCATGCAGACTTTGGAACAGAACTCCGAAACATTGATGCAAAAGCTTCGCACTTCTGAAGCCAATCATGCTGAGAGCGAATTGGTGATTTCTAGATTGCGGTTGGAGTTGGCTAACCAAGAATCTCGAAATGGCGCGGATACGCAACAGCCACCCGTAGGAGACATCACAACTCTCATGCAGCAAGTCGCCGAAACAGCACGTAGACTTGAAGCATCTGCGCAGAGCTTTGGTTTGAGCCCAAAGGGTCATAGGAAGAATAAGCCAACACCAAAGGTTCAGGCTTCAGTTCCCATTGCTCCTAGCAGTTGCTCCGGAAAGGCTGGAAGTGTTCCATCCTCTCAGGTGTTGTTCCCTACATCACTCCGGGGTACATCGCATGGGTACGGCACTCCCGCCGGCCCTTGCACGAACGTTCCTCCTCCGCCTGTTCCTGCTAGGTCACCATCTGCATCGCCTCTTGCATTTCAGATTGGAACTGATGACGAGGATGATGGGGATGACGATGGTGATGACGAAGAGGAAGAGGAGGAAGAGGGGGGTGATCCAGAGGAGCCTGATGATGATCCGATTCAGGATGACGATGAAGTGCCTCATCCCCTGCCTTCTTCAGTGTCCCAGATAAAAGAAGAAGACGTGTATCGGTCAAAAGAACTTAAGGACCTGAAGTTGCCAACCGTTCCACAGAACGCTGGAGGTTTCCGTGCCTTTCGTAATGCCATGCTGACGACCTTTGCTGCAATAGATAAAACTGGAGCAGGGATTATCCTGAAATGGCTTCAGGCAGCCCTTGATCCATCTATTACGGCGCAGGCTTCAAGGCAGCTCGAGCAGGATCGCGGCGGTCTTCCGCGATTGGACGCACACTTGGCAACATTGATGGCAGACAACAAAGTGTTGAAGGGAGATTTCGGAGTTAGTGCGCAGGGTTACATTGAGACGTCCCACCGGAAGTCACAACAGCCGTGTGGTAGGGTTCTTTTAGCCTTGTTCTCTAAGCAATTTCGGATCGACAGGGTTCGAGGTACAACAATGTCCCAGCAAACGTTGTTAGGCATTCAGCTCGAAGGATACAGCCCGGCACACTTGACGACGTTCAAGGAGCGTGTAGAATACATGCTGAATGGGATGTTGGAGTCTGAGTGGCCTAGCGAGGAGACTTTATTTCAGTTCGCGTATGGTCGCCTGAAACCGTATCGTGGTCTAGCTAGGGTCATTGAGCGAATCAAGGAATCACCGAAAGGTTCGCCAAAGCGATCTTTTAGCTGGATTTGGTCGAAGCTGACCGAGCATCTCCACGAACTCAAAGAGGATCAGAACGAACAGTCCATTCGGGAGGCCCTCCTAGGCAAAACAACCAAGCCACAGGAGAAAGCCACGCCAGCAAAGCCGGTGCCGAAGACTAAACCCACTCCTGCTAGTCCTGCCCCCACAACTACGCCAAAGCGTAAAGGGAAAGGCAAGGGCGACAACACACAGAGAGATTCTGGTGGAGGTCAGGATGAAGCAGTGCCAAAGGCACCATCCGAACCGAAGGCAAAGCCGAAACCAAAGCCAAAGGCAAAAACGGAGCCAGCAAAGGCAGGTGCTAAAGCGACAATTCCGTGCAAGTTTTATGCACAAGGCAATTGCAATCGCGGCACAGCATGTCCATTCTCCCACGAGGCACCCAAGGCTGGGCCGCCAAAGGCGAAGCCCACTGCAGCTAATACTAAGGCTAATGCCGCAGCGACAGTTGCACTTGTGTTGCCGAGTAGCGCCAAAGCACATTCCCCCAGTAAAGCTTCCACAGTCAAGCATGGGTGGTTTGCGCGCGCCTTTCGTGTGCTGTGTTCCTACTTCTCTTGTGTGTCACCTGAGTTGGCATGCCCTGCAACTGTCACATCCACTGTAACGGTTGCAGCAAACGTCATGTCTGGAGCTCCATACTTCCATGAGTTCATTGCTGATTCAGGAGCAGGTCGATCACTCGAGTCTCGCTCGTCGTTGATTGATCAGGGTATTCCAGGGACTGAGTTCAGCCAGAAAGTGAGGGATGATGACAAAGTTGTTTTCTCCACAGGCAATGGAAAGGTGACTTCTTCCAAGTCCCTTGGGTTCGATGGTGAAACGTTTGGTTCATGGAAATCATATGTCCTAGACTCCTGTCCAAGTGTTCGGAGTATGGGTGAGATTGTTGAGCTTCAGGGCCTTCCGTTTGTTTGGATACCAGGACAAATGCCCGCCTTCCTACAACCTGGCACCGAAGTTCACTTCGATGAATCATCTGCTCATTTTGCTTGCCGACTTGAAGGGTTCGTGCCGATCTTTCGGGATCGTGTGCGATTCGCACTGCCTGCATCTCAACATGCTTCTTCGTCTAAAGATGTGCCCGATGGTGAGGTTGTAGCTCCGGGTGATACGGCATTTGAGCCGGTCCCCGATGATGATGCGCCTGCTGTTGATGGTCCTGAGGATGAAGAAGTTGTTGATCTGAGTAGGGAACAGGAATTAGTTCGACAAGCCAATAGCATTGAGCACAAGATGCTGCACATTCCAAAGAACCCTTACTGCAGCATATGCCGTAGGAGCAAGATGTACCAACGACGGCACAAGAAGAGACAGGAACCTTTGGTTGACAGAGGAAACCTTGAACCCGTTGACAAATTTGCACAACGGTTGGCCACTGACTACATAGTGCCAACTCGCAGCGATGGTCCCTCGGTTCAGGTTATTCGAGACGAATTCTCGGGTCTACTGCGGGCTTATGTAGGCAAGCGGACTGCCGAGAATGCTGCGCGTAATCTTCTGCAGTTCGTCGGAGCCGCAGCCTCGGACACACCAAACGTTCTTGTGAAAACGGATTGTGATCGTTCTCTTACATCAGCAATATCACAAGTTGGTTGGGCACAGGAGCCATCGCTCCAGAATCGATGGCCTCACAACTCACAGCTTGAGCGGCACATTCGTACTCTAGAAGAAACCACCCGAGCATCACATTTAGGAGCCGGGTTTCACCTTCTTCAGGGCTTATGGCCGGTTTCGGTTGCGTACGCGGCTAATGCTTTGAACATCGTGAAATGGAAAGGTGAAACAACCTTTTACGAACTGGCCACTGGTACACCTTTTGGTGGGCCTAGGCTAGCGTTAGGTCGCCTTGTGCACTACCGTGTTCACGATGCCTCAAAACGTGAAAAGTTTGATGCCAGTACGTTGCCAGGTGTGTTTGCCGGCTGGAAATTGGATGCTGCGTCTGTCTACAAAGGTGTTGTGTATGTCTTAGACTACAACAAACTTCGGAGTAAGGCTATCGGGTTTGAGTTTCCAGTAGCTGTGCCCTTTGAGGAAGTGTTTGTTCCGGACGAAGAAACATTTCCGATGCGAGTCGCCGCTGACCGCGCGCTTGCTGAATTCAAGGAGGCGGCACTGGATGAGATCACAGCTCTGGATATTCCATTTTCGGAGATCACTTGTAGTCGTGAGGCAATTCGTAAACGAAACGAATACATAACGCTTGACCGGGTGATCAAGTTTGGACCTACTCCGGGCTGCGGCGCATGTGCGTTTGAAACCAAGACGCACACACCCGTCTGCCGAGCACGGTTCAACGCCCTCGTCAAGGCGGACCGCATCTCGAAACCATCGAAGCCGCCCGTGCCCGTTGCTGACGATGACAAAAGCAAGGATGATGGTACGGCAGTGCCGCCGGCCACATCTGAACGTGTCGAGTTTGAAGAACTTTTCGGGGATCAGCTTCCCGAGAATTATGCTCCTAAAGACACATCACTTGGTAACAAAGAAGCTGTTTCAGAAGTGCCGGATGACTGCCTTGAGTATTCGCCCAGCGAAGCAGAAGATGAAGGATCAACTCATGCAGCTGTCATTTTGCAAATCGATGACGACTTCAAGCAATCAAACATCGATCGGAATCGTTGTCGTAGAACTAGCTTCGTCAACCAAGTCTTGTTTGAGTACCCAAGCAGTCTTGACTCACAAGTTGGTGTTGTGGCGGAGCAGTCACACATCACATGTGTTCGTCTCGACCGCGACCTTCTTGATTTATCCAGCCAAGAAGACGTCGACCAGTTGTTAGGCCAAGTTGAGGCACTACCGGGTTGTGATGTTTGGGCAACCATGCCTGACACACACCGTTGTGCTGCACAAGGGCCGAAGGAGAAAAAGCCTGATGCATCAACCAAAAGCAAGCGTGCAAAACAGCGTCACCAAGAGCAGAAGATGCTTGAGCTCGCGCTGCCGGTTTTCCAAAAATGCATCGACAACTTTGGTCGCCTTTCTGTTGAATGGCCAAAGGGTTCAGAACTTCAGAACCTCCCAATCTGGTTGGAATTCGAGAAAAAGAACGTGATGAGAAGGGTTGTTTGTCATGGATGTATGTTTGGGGCTTGCGGAAAGCACTATCCTGTCAAGCTACCATTGGTCGTTAGCACTAACTGCATCAGAACATTGGAAACATTGTCGCAGTACCAGTGTGACCAATCACACGTTCATGAGACTGTCGTTGTGCAGACAACCTCCCACTCGTCTAAGATGGCAAAGGCTATCATCGAGTCGTATTACCCCAACAAGCTTCACACCTTCGCTCCCAATCACTCGCATGCATTCGTCACACGCAATCTTTCCAGGAAAGAATGGACCGCGAACCCAAAAGCTGTCGAAGCTGTGAAAGCCGAAGCAGCGGGCTTACGGAACAACGAGACCTGGGACGATAGCACCGCGCGTTTGCTAGGTGATTTAAAGCGGGAAGCGCGTCAGACAAACAGGAATGTCAAGATTGCAGACATCTTGACACTGTGCGGGGAAAAGTTCTCCGAACTGCCCGAGGAATTTCGTAAGTTCAAGGGCAGAGTTGTCTATCGCGGGGATAAGATATACGACGAACTTGGCAACCTGGTGCAGTTCACCGACACTGCCACTAACCCTACTGCCATCACCGCTTTGAATGTTGCCCTGTGGTTTGCTTGCATGCCTGGCAACACAGCTTCATCCAGCGATGCCATTCAGGCTTTTCTCCAGTCAGTCCTACCTGAGGAAACTTGGGTGGCACTGCCACCCGAGTTGTGGCTGGAAGAGTGGCATCAGCGGTTCAAGAAGGGTGATCGGGTAGTGGTCAGACTCCGCAAATCGCTCTACGGCCATCCGTTGGCTGGCAAGCTTTGGGAGGAACGCCTCGCCTCCAAGCTGCGCGAATTAGGCGGTAAGGAACTGCAATCATACCCGTCCAACTGGGTATTTACCCGAAAGGGCCAAGTTCTACTGTTGTGCATCTACGTAGATGACCTGGTTCTAGCAGGACCGACGGGATTGCACGATGACTTCTGGAAGGAGTTGGGGTCGTTGGTTAAGCTTGATCTGCCCACGTTCATTGAGCAGCAGGGTCTTAGGATCATCGGTCGTCATCATTCATGCGTTGTGTGTGAGCAATTCACGCAGATGACTTTTGCTATGGACTCTTTTGCCAAGCAGGCCGTTGATTTCTATTGTGAGCTGACTCAGACTGAGCGTAAGCAACTTAAGCCTGTCCCCACCCCCAGCCTAAATGAAGCGTCGTTTTCCGATCAGGATTTTGAAGAACAGGGCCACCTGCATCAAGATGCCGCAAAAATCCTTATGAAGACGCTCTGGCTAGCGCGGTTGAATCGTCCCGATTTGAGTTTCATTGTAGCGCGTCTCGCTACGAAGATATCTCGATGGACACGAGCAGGCGACAAACAGCTCTTCCGCCTAATGTCTTACTTATGTCATACACCGTCATTGAATTTGGTCGGTAGAGTAGGTAAGCAGGGTGAGGTTTCTGTAGCTGTGTATACCGACGCTGACTTCGGCGCCTGTCCGGTATCAGCAAAGAGCACCTCCGGGGTTTTCTTGACCATAAACACTGGCGAGTATAGGTTCCCGATTTTGTGGTACAGTAAGAAACAGTCCTCCGTAGCAAGGTCCACTCCTGAGGCCGAGGCCATTTCGATGGCCTCCGCGCTTTTCGGTGAAACTCTAAATGTTCAAGAGACCGTTTCCTTACTACTGCAGCAATCAATTCCGGCAGTCTTTGAACAGGACAACGAAGCCCTGATCAAGATACTGAAAGCAGGGTATTCTGCAAAGCTCCGACACATGGGTCGGGTGCACCGGATAAACGTGGCCTCCATGGCTGAAGTCCTTGCAGGTGATGATATCTCTTGTAGGTATTGTCATACTAAGGATCAGATCGCAAATGGCCTTACGAAGGTAATAGTGCCATGCGAATGGGGTCACATGTTGCAGCAGTTGTGCCTCGAACAGGGTCAGCCTGAGCATGCTCTTGTTGTCGTCAAACCGTTCATCGCGTCAGCAGAACGTTTCGCACTACAACTACCTCAACGCGTTTCCAAGCAAGATCTTGTGCAGTTGTTGTCCTACCTACCGTATGGTAATGCTGATCGTGCAGACGACAAGTCCCGTGCACATGCATTTACTGTAGGGGCCTTTTCACGCGGCACTCGCCTTGCGGGTGTAAGATCATTCACGCGCCAGTTCCCTCACACGTGTCGGGCACTGTGCAGATACATTTGTTCTATTAGTCCATGCCACACGTTTACCACCGTCACACTGTCTCAGGGCGTGCGAGCCCCAATGCACCGTGATTCGTGGAATCGGCCAGGATCTGTCAACCTGCTGTGCACCCTTACGCCTAACTCCGGTTCGGTTTGGTTGCATGATGCTCAGGGTGGTGACCTAGATCCTTTGGGTTGGGGCCTAAAGGGCATGTATCTTACCAATCCCTGCGTCTTTGATCCGCGGAAATGGCATTGCACTACTCCTTGCCAATCTGCCAAGCAGGATATGCGCGTTGTTGTAGTCGCATTCACCGTTCGAGACCCAGATGTGCTGTCCAGTGCAGATGCGCAGTATCTGCGTGAGCTTGGGTTTCACTTCTGACGTCTCACTCCGTGTCGTATCTTGCATTGACGGCATTTGCCGCGATGCATGTTGTACAGTCACGCACTTAGGCTCACTTAAGGGGGGAGTTGTTGAAACACGCTTCCCAGTACCATTTCATGTACATATGTGAAGGCCATGATAAGTGTAGCTAAGTGCTGACTTGATCGACGTATTTGGCTCAAGACAAAAGACGGTTGCATTGCACCTTGTCTTGCTGTTTTCAACTGAACCAGGTATATCAACCCCTTGAATCAGGACATGGTCAACAGTACCTAGGAGCAGTAGAGAATGCCCCTACTGGTGGAGGACATCAAGCAATGGAAGTGAACAGAGTAGAGTACAAAGGAAAAGGATGGAAAGGAAAAGGCGGAAAAGGAAAAGGCAAGAAAGGCTATGGCAAGATGTTTGGAGGATTCGGAGCCATGCAGGCAGGTAGAGGATTCAGCAGGTTTGGTCGAGGTAGAGGAAAAGGCAAAGGCCGAGGTAAAGGTAGAGGAAAAGGTAAAGGTAAGAAAGGTGGAAAAGGCCGGAAAGGCAAAGGAAAGAGTAAAGGAAAAGGAAAGAAAGGAAAAGGAAAACGACTTGGAAGGACAGTTTGTAGACTTTGTCATCAGGAAGGACACTGGGGAAATGAATGCCCCAACAGACATTCTGTTCGTAACGTGGAAGCCGAAGAACAGTCCCAAGCGGAAGCGTATCCCAACAATCCACCGAACCAAGAACCTTACCCAAATCCGAATGTGGTCGAAACTGGTAGTATTCGCCAGACGACAAGCCGACCGGATCCAAGGATCGTCACCCGGAGAGTAGGAGCGTCAAGTGGATCAAGTGGATTCAACCCAAAACCATTTTACCACATAGCTACGCCGCCGGAAGAGTATCCGGAGACCTTTCCAATCAACTCAGAAGATGAGTCGGACATTGACATCACGTATGTCAACACCATCCGTATGGTGCGAGATGTTGCAGATGAAACTGCAGAAGGTGAGGAAGTCACCAACCCATTTTTCGGTGAACTACCCAGTCCAGGTTTTACAGACTCAGATGAGGAGCTTGGATCGAGAGAACCTACTGGAATTTGCCAAGGTTGTGGTACACGCTTGGAACCGGTGTGCAAGCCAGTTGCGCCACCGACAGAGTCTGGAATCCCACGAGTACCAGAACATTATCCAGGAGAAGAACACTATCTTAGGCAACAGAGGAAGCTGAGAAGTGAAGGGAAACCTTACGACAAGAAAGCTATCGATGATGCGGTGAAGCGAGAGAATGAGTGGATCGAGTCTCACCTCAAGGCGATGGAGGAGAAAAAGGAGACCGAGACTGATAAAGTTCGAATGGTTCGGGAAGAATTCCATGATGTAGCAGAGTGGTATGTGATGGATGCAACGGATGAAGACGGAGACTGGTTTGTTGTAGACAACCACGAAGTAGTTCGAGCAGTTCAAGTAGAAGAGACTGTACCCGAAGAAGCACTTGAGATTATCATTTTGGATTCTGGATCGGATGCTAGTTTGTTACCTAGGTCACATCCGAAAGCGACGCGCATGAACGCAGGAACAACGGGTATCATGCTAGAGGATGCCCAAGGGAATGCAATTAGGTCAGCAGGAATGGTCACGGCAGTGATCGCAGTGGAACAAGGAGAGGACTGTTGGACAGCCCCTAGTATTCAGAAAGCTTTATTGTAAGCGATGCGACAAACATTCTGTTGTCGATGGGAAGACTGCTGAAGAATGGCTGGAAACTGGAGTATCAGCCAGATGTACCTGAGGGTGAGAAAGCTCTTAGTGTTCAGTGGAACCTTACAGTGTCGTCAATGGTTTTGGTTAGCCCAGATGGACGAGCAACCGCGAGGATCTTTTACAAACGGAACAGTTGTTGTTTGTTAGGTAGATTATCTGTTGTCGGAAATGATCGTAATACCCGTTGGACGGGAGGAACAAGTCGGAGCGATGGAAGCTCACGAAGTAGCACTGACAGTAGGACTGCAGTGGAGAGGAGCGTCACCGTACGTATTCCAAGCTATCTACGGGAACTGTTGGACAGTACACCCAGTGGAAATTGGACGATCATGGAAGACGGTACACCGTTTATTTTGTATCAAGGAACGACTTATATGGATCCTAAGGATGCTTTCCCAGGATGGAAGTACAGGACGACAATGATATCAGAAGGAGGAAGTGATTGGTCACTAGTCGAGTTGTACTCGGACTATGGTTCTATCAGGAGCCACAATGTGGAAATTGCAGAGTGTCATGGTAGACCGAAAAGGATCTGTGTTATCCTACATGCAGTGAGTGGAAACTTTTTCACTTTCTGCCGAGACTTTGAAGCGACCATGGTCTCAAGAGGACCAGAAACACCTTTTGCTAGAGGTGAAGGAAGAGTTCCAGAAGAGCTTAGTACACCGGTGGTACCGGTAAGTATCGCCCCTGGAAGGAGCGAAGGAGTATTGGGACCAACCTACGATGGAGACGGAAATCCGTTGTCAGAGTTGGAGATGCAGAAATCTGCACAGAAGCTAAAGAGCGAAGAGAAGGAGAAAGTACGAGTGGAAGCAGAACGGCCTTGAGGATTCATGCACCTGGCTATATACTGTGTGTGTGGGCAAGGTTGAGGCACAACATAAACTCTATATGTATGTGTGTTTACAGACATACACTGTGAAAGCCTAAGTTGGGAATGCTTTTTCATGCCAAATGGCATCATGTGTTGGGATTGCTTATAATGGCCAGATGGCTGGTATACTGGAAATGCCTGGGTGGGCCCATGCATGGCTGCTGGTGTTCCTGCTCAATCCCACATTCCAAAAGCAGAGCTAATGACTGGATGGCTTCCAAACCGGTGCTGCTCTTTTTTCTCGCAAAAACCGTGATGCCACGTGCATGCTTCCTCACTGCAGTCGCCGAAAGCGATCTGGTGGCATGGCCGCTGAATGGTCATCATGCTCCACCATCTGCTTGAAGATGGGCTCCTTCTGGTACCTGGGTTGCAGAACATACATGTATATCTGGCTTCCAAGAACTGAGAACAATGCTTCAAAGAACCACTAAAACTGCATGGTCGCCAGCTTTGGTTTATTCGGTATAATGTTTGCCATCCAAGCATTAGATTGGTACATGAAGACATGCTGAAAATGTGGCTTTGTATGTAGCTACGAATTTGGATGCCAACAAATACAAAAAAGGGACTATATACATATCTTGGAAGGCATATAGAATATATATATATATATATATATATAGACATGTATAAACATGAAGTGGTCTATATGCATCTACAGGGTAGTGTTGTGTGTCTTAATTCAACAGCAGCCTTCTACTTCAGGGCGGATTTGGGTATGCATGTTGCTTGCGGAAGCACACACATGACACATATATATATATATATATATATATATATTTGTTCACAACCATAGAAACACATCATACCTCTATAGAGATACACACATATTTATATACATATGTATATGACACGGACCTAAAGACATTCGTCATACTTGTATATACATACACTTTTTTTATACTTATATTACATATATGCATATATATATATATATATATATATATATATATCTATATATATATATATATATGCATATATGTATTTACATGTGTACATATATATATATACATATATATATATATATATATTTGTATATCTATATCCCAAAGGTACATATCACATCATGCATATGTATATATAGAAGGACTATATATATATATATATACATATGTATATATACATATAACACACACATATACATATATATATATAGAACTATTATATATATATATATATATAGAGAGAGAGAGAGAGAGAGAGAGAGAGAGAGAGAGAGAGTTTCAGTCTGCATTGTATGTATGTATGCATGCATGTAGGCATGCATGCATTTATATGGATGTATACACGTATATGTATCTATGTATGCATGTATGTACAAGCTATTAAGTATATGTGGGGCAAACATGCATTTATATCAGAAACACGTATACATGTATGTGTGTGGAATACATATATATATATATATATATATATATACATAACATTGCACTCATGTGCATTCTGAGGCACCAATCCATGAGGTGCTTGCACTGGTGCCAGTCATGCTGGTTGAATGCCTCGATGAAGCTCCTTGCTTTGTCCTTCCATGCACCAGCAGCATCTTGGTTGTTCACCAAGTCTTCTCGCATGGTGTTGACGATGTCTTGCAGTCCATGCCAATCCTGTGCATTCCATGCTTTCGCTGCCCAGACCAATTTGAATTTCCAGCCAGTGGCCCGCTGTGCGGGGCATGGTCCGGATGATTGTTTGGCTCTGGGCGGTGGAAAGGGCATGGGAACTTTGGCAACATTGGGTGGTGGTGTGGATGGGGGTTTGGGAACTTTGGCGGGCGGTGGTGTGGATGGGGGTTTGGGAACTTTGGCGGGCGGTGGTGTGGATGTGGGTTTGGGAGCTTTGGCGGGTAGATATGCTGGCTCGGGAGGTGCTGCTGTTGATGGTTCGGCTGGTGGGGGCTGTGTGTTGCTTGGGGGGGGCATGGATGTGTCGGATGCAGCTGGGGATGGCGGTGGCTGCATGTCTTCGGCAGGGCAGCCATGTCTTTCTGGCTGCATGATGGTGTCCTCCTGCTTGACTTCCTGCTTGATGTCCTCCTCCTGCTTGATCTCATGCTTCACCTCCTCATGCTTGGTTGCAATGGATGGTTGGGGTGTGCTGGGTGGGCCCTTCCATGGCAGGTTGTCGGCACCCCTGGGCACGGGCATGGGGTTGCAGAATGGATAAGGCATGGGTGCTCGCACGGGGGCCGGTGGCGGCATTGTCATTGCTCTGGCAACACGAGCTGCTGCTGCTGCTGCTTCTGCAGGGGTGGGGGGTGCTGGCATGGGTGGGCACAATGGCATGATTGTCCCCCCAACCGCAAAAAAGGATGCTGTCGGAACGAGAATGGGGGGGTAGTCTGGATGCCTCTGATACAGGCATGTTGGTATGCATGG